ACCCCAACAATCTCAATGTTCTGTGCTGGGTGGGTTTCTCTAGATATTTGGTCTGCTGTTTTGTTAAAAATGAAATAGTGATCATTTTTGTGGTTCTATAAATTTTAGATCATGGTTTTGCTTCTATCTAGCCCTCTAGATGAACTCTGTAGATCAATATTTTCCAAACTAACTGTAGCAAAGGATTAGTTCTTTAAAATTTTCCAATCTGCCATAAACCAATATATATATAATATATATTTTTTGAGAGGTTTATGCTATAGGACACATGTGCTCACTAGAAAGACAGAGACAGAGAGACAGAAAGCAAGAAATCACTCCTCAAGGGGATGGCCATGCCACAGTACCTTCTCCTCCATTTTCCTTTTGGGACTTTGGGCACCCGCACATACATGCACCTGGCATGAGTTTAAGCCACCGGGTCTGGGACTTGAATTGCGGTTGACTACATGGGAGTCCAGGGACATAGCTATTATGACAGCTGCTGGTCCCACTGATATTTTGGTAAACTACAGTAAAAATAAATTGCTGATCACCTGCTTAAATATCATGTCAATGCCCAATGTTATCAAAGTTTCCAAAGCATTTTCTCAATTTCTTCTCGTTGCAGACCAGTAAAAACCAGCATGGGGACCAGACCCCATTTTGAGGAGCACTGCTAGACATGGTGCTTTATTATTTTCTGATACTTGATGTAGAATCAGAGATTAATACTTCCCTGTTTTTGTTTTTTTTTTTTTTTTTAAAGAGGTTTTTGCTATAGGGCACATGCAGTCACTGGAAAGACAGAGACAGATAGAAAGCGAGAAATCACCCCCCCAGGGGGGATGGCCATGCCACAGTTCCTTCTCCTTCATTCTCCTCTCGGGATCTTGGGCAAGCACACACACGCGCCCAGCATGAGTTTAAGCCACCGGGTCTGGGACTCAAACCTTGGTTGACTACATGGGAGTCCAGCGACATAGCCATTATGCTTACTGCTGGTCCCCCTGTTCTTTATGTTTCCTGTTGGTTTTAAAGTTTTCCATTGTAACCTGTTTCCTTTCTATCAAGATGTTTTTATGGCCTTATTTGGAACATAAGGTGTTTGCTGCAGCACACTCCTGCTGTAATTAGCTGGGAGTGAACTTGTGGCTAACTGGTCTGGATGGTAGTACTGGTTTATTTCCAGAGCCACTAATAAATGCACTCATAGTATATTTCATCAGCTCTAAAATACATTGATGCTGGTTTCTGTTTTTAATTTTTTTTCTGGTGCGTGCGCTTACCAGAGAGACAGCAAAAAATCAACCCTCCGGGGAGATGGCCATGCCACAATCCCTTCTTCTCCATTCCAGATGGGACTAGGGCAGAAGGGGGATGGGGGTGACAGGGAGACTTCTTTTATGAGAACCTCTTAGTATTTTTAGTGATTTGAATTATGTAAATACGTTGACAGTTCAACTAATTAAATATATGATCTAATTTTTTTCACCCCAACAATCTCAATGTTCTGTGCTGGGTGGGTTTCTCTAGATATTTGGTCTGCTGTTTTGTTAAAAATGAAATAGTGATCATTTTTGTGGTTCTATAAATTTTAGATCATGGTTTTGCTTCTATCTAGCCCTCTAGATGAACTCTGTAGATCAATATTTTCCAAACTAACTGTAGCAAAGGATTAGTTCTTTAAAATTTTCCAATCTGCCATAAACCAATATATATATAATATATATTTTTTGAGAGGTTTATGCTATAGGACACATGTGCTCACTAGAAAGACAGAGACAGAGAGACAGAAAGCAAGAAATCACTCCTCAAGGGGATGGCCATGCCACAGTACCTTCTCCTCCATTTTCCTTTTGGGACTTTGGGCACCCGCACATACATGCACCTGGCATGAGTTTAAGCCACCGGGTCTGGGACTTGAATTGCGGTTGACTACATGGGAGTCCAGGGACATAGCTATTATGACAGCTGCTGGTCCCACTGATATTTTGGTAAACTACAGTAAAAATAAATTGCTGATCACCTGCTTAAATATCATGTCAATGCCCAATGTTATCAAAGTTTCCAAAGCATTTTCTCAATTTCTTCTCGTTGCAGACCAGTAAAAACCAGCATGGGGACCAGACCCCATTTTGAGGAGCACTGCTAGACATGGTGCTTTATTATTTTCTGATACTTGATGTAGAATCAGAGATTAATACTTCCCTGTTTTTGTTTTTTTTTTTTTTTTTAAAGAGGTTTTTGCTATAGGGCACATGCAGTCACTGGAAAGACAGAGACAGATAGAAAGCGAGAAATCACCCCCCCAGGGGGGATGGCCATGCCACAGTTCCTTCTCCTTCATTCTCCTCTCGGGATCTTGGGCAAGCACACACACGCGCCCAGCATGAGTTTAAGCCACCGGGTCTGGGACTCAAACCTTGGTTGACTACATGGGAGTCCAGCGACATAGCCATTATGCTTACTGCTGGTCCCCCTGTTCTTTATGTTTCCTGTTGGTTTTAAAGTTTTCCATTGTAACCTGTTTCCTTTCTATCAAGATGTTTTTATGGCCTTATTTGGAACATAAGGTGTTTGCTGCAGCACACTCCTGCTGTAATTAGCTGGGAGTGAACTTGTGGCTAACTGGTCTGGATGGTAGTACTGGTTTATTTCCAGAGCCACTAATAAATGCACTCATAGTATATTTCATCAGCCCTAAAATACATTGATGCTGGTTTCTGTTTTTAATTTTTTTTCTGGTGCGTGCGCTTACCAGAGAGACAGCAAAAAATCAACCCTCCGGGGAGATGGCCATGCCACAATCCCTTCTTCTCCATTCTCCTCTTGGGATCTTGGGCATGCACACACATGTGCCCAGCCTGAGTTTTAAGCTGCTGGGTCTGAGACTTGAACTGCTGTTGACTCCATGGGAGTCCAGCAATGTAACCATTATGCCATAGGCTGGTCATTAGGCCATAGGCTGATCCTCGGTTTTTTATTTTAATTTGTATTATTATTATTTTTACTAGAGAATACCAGAGAGACAGGGAGAGAAGGGGTGAAAGCACCTCCCAATGGGGCAGGCCAAGCCACAATCTCGTCTCCGTTTCTCCACTCCGTTGGGATTTGGGGCATGCATGCATACACACTCAGCATGTTTTTCAAACCACTGGGACTAGAATTCAAACTAGTGATTAGCCATGTGGGAACTGACTCCCTTAACCAATAGGCCATGGGGCCTACAGTAGTGGTTTTTTGTTTTGCTTTTTTAATCTTTTAGAAGGTCTCATTGGTTGTGTTTCACAATACTAAGTGAGGACTACCAACTGTTTGGCAGCAATATTAACATGTGACTGATTTCAGAGATGTTAAAATGTGGAAGTAGATGCACATGTCTTAAATTATCTTTTGGAGAGGGACCCATGATTGTTCTTGTGTCTAATCACTGTTGAGTACTTGGAAACTTGCTTACGAAAAGTACTTTCAGTATACTTATGGGAAGTAGGGAGGAAGTCTTTAGTAATTCCCTTTATTAACTTCACCTCTCTGCTGAATGGCATCTCTTCTTGCGACAGCACAATGTGAACTGGGCACATTCTCTCTTCTCTGATTGGCATGGCTTCCTTCATTAGGAGCTAAGCATCCTTGGAATGGATCGGTGGGAAGGTTGGCCAATTTATCTGTCACTTGTGTATCTTCTAGCGTCATTAATAGACATTTTTCTCCTAGTTGAGTGTTTTCCCCCCTTACTTTCAGCTTTCCTCTCTCCTATTCCTGCCATCCTGAGCTTATTAACATTAGGAGTTCCAGTTACCCCATCTTCTTGGTTCCCATGTTGGCTGCCTGGTATTTCATTTCCTTTTATATTTTCTAGACTGTTCATTATAGAAATCTCTCCAAGACTTCTGGTTACCCTTCCATATTTATCGGGTACGGATAGGATTCTATTTTACCTATTTTTATAGTTCTTCAGCCACTTCAATGGACGTTTGAAAGGAAGGGCAGTTACTGTGTGGGCTAACGCTGCCATTCATTTCTTCACTATGTATTTATTGAATATAATCTATGCCCAGTATAGTTCTAAGCACTAAGAACACAGCAGTAAATGCAGTCCCTTTAAACTCTGGCCTATGTTGGAACATTTCATTCTGCTTAGTTTTTATATTTCCAAACTGGAAGCTTAACTTGTTCTACTACCTTTCATTTTCAGAGTTCCTTTTACTTTACTTTATTTTATTTATTTTGCCGGAGGGTGCTTTTGCTTGCGGAGAGAAACAACCCACGAGGAATGATCACACCATAATCCCATCTCCATTTGTACTCTCCTTTCAGGACTTCGGCCATGCACACACAGGTGCCTGGCATGTTTCTAAAGCTGCCAGGTCCAGGACTCAAACTGCCCAGTAGGCCATATGGGATACATCTGTCTTAACCACACACCATGGGCTGGCCCTGTTTATTGTTTTTTCATTGCCAGAAGATGTGTACACTTGACAGGGGGAAAAAAAAGCCCATCCCCACCCCCGACTGTACATGGTTATGCTATCGCTTATTCTCCTTTTCTCCATCCTATCAGAAATTGGGGCATACATGCACATGTGACTGGCATGTATTTTAATCTTGGGACTGGGATCTGAAACGTTGTCAGCTCTGTGGGGTCCAGTTCCCATTGCATAGCACTTAATCACTGTACTATGGGGCCCGACAGAGCTATCATTTTAGGAGGACGTCAACTTTTAAAAATCTAAACTTAGGGGGGCCAGCAAATGATATGGTGGTTGGTGCACAGGACTACAGGACTCCCACATGGTCGACTGCAGTTCAAGTCTCGAACCTGGCTGCTTTCTCCCCTTCACCTCCCCTCCAACTCACATGCCCTGTCGCAAGTTAAAAATGATGATGATGATGATAAGTAAAATTAAATAAATGATATTTTTAATCTAAACTTAGAATTTATAGCTTGGTACATGTTTCATTTTGATTTGGCACTAATATATTCTCTAGAAATAACATGTGTGGTGTTTGCATTTTAGCCGATTACACCTCAACAAGAAGGCAACCGACAAACAGCCATATAGCAAGCTCCCAGGTGTCTCTCTTCTGAAACCGCTGAAAGGGGTAGATCCTAACCTAATCAACAACCTGGAAACGTTCTTTGAATTGGATTATCCCAAAGTAAGTACAAAGTCGTACTCATCGGGAATGGACTAAACTGTAATGTTTTGTTCTGTTTTGATTGATTTCCCCTCATGGTGAACTCTTAGAGTGGAGCTTTAACACTGTATAAGGTGAATGTTTTTACAGTTCACAATGATGTCAGCCTCATAAAATGTTAAGCCTTGGTGGTAGTAGTCATGGGGGTAGAAATAGGGCTGCCGAAGGGGTATAAATTCCTCTTCTCACCACCTGTATGCCCATTTGAAATAGAAATCCCCAAGTAAACCTCCTGGAACTCACCGTCTAGTGCCAGGTAGTTTGAATATAAATTTCTTGTTCCAAGAGAGTCGTGTGAAACTTGGGTAGGGGAGGCAGTGGATAGGAAGGCAGTGTTCAGTGACCTAAAATGGGTTGTAGGACAACTGGAACTAAATAGGAATGCCCTTGAGAAACTGGCTTGGAGCAAGAATAGGTTGCAGTTAGTGGCAAGGTGGGGCTTTATTTTACCTCACTTTTAGAAATTCTTTATTGTTTTGATTTTTAATTCTTTTTTTTTTTTTTAAGAGGTTTCTGTTATAGGGCGCGTGTGCTCGCCAGACAGACAGAGAGAGACAGAGACAGAAAGCGAGAAATCACCCCCCAGCGGGGATGGCACGCTGCAATCCCTTCTCCTCCGTTCTCCTCTCAGGATCTTGGGCACGCATGCACACACACCTGGCGTGAGTTTTAAGCCACCGGGTCTGGGACACAAACCACGGTCAACTACATGGGAGTCCAGTGACATAGCCATTACACTTAACTGCTGGTCCCTGATTTTTAATTCTTAATAGTACTGCTCATACAATTTATCTCTACAGTCTATATATCTATAAACTCATTGTATTCTCTTCTCTGGAGTTTCTTTGGAAGTATTCATTTTTTTAGCGTATAGTGTTTTAGAAGAACTGAGGGTTTCTTTGTTTTAATTTTTGTCAAAGGGCACCTGTACTTGTAGAAGTTAAGGGGAGCTCCTTGGCAAATGATTTTGCCATAGTCTCTTCTCCATTTCTCCATCCTGTTAGAATTTTGGGCACCCATGCACATGTGCCTAGTGTTTCCCAAACCATAGGGTCTGGGACTCAAACCGTGGGGTTGGCCATGTGGGATCTGCCTGCCTTAACCATTGAAGCAGCCCAGTATTCTTTGATTTTTTTGTAGTTAGCTCTATTGCAGCTTTTTATATTGCCTGTTGGAGACACTGCTTTTGAAAGGGTCTTTTAGAGTAGTAGATTACTTGTGACAAGATTACTTATCTTTAAATTTTTACCTTTTTAGTACAGTTCAATTTTCCTTTTGCAGTCTCTACTGATTTGCCTCAATTTTTACCCTATTCTCTCAGTTTTTCCGTAATTATTTTTGCTACTTAGAGATTCTTCTCTCTTATTTTTTTTTACAGAAGTGTAGCCCAAGTAGT